ATTTCACTTAAGAGTATCGCCTCAGTGTGCATCCATTTAGCTATAAATGTCTCTAATTTCTCATTTTTTATGGCTGAGTAGTACTCCTAAAAGTGCTTCCCCTTGCTAGACAGGCAGTTAAAACATCAACCCTACCAGGAGAGGGGAGAAATTCAAATGCAGATCAGCAGGACACTACCTCCAAAATGCCAAGTGAGTGAGGCTCCTGAGTACAAGACTCCTCTTTAATTCTATTTTGCTCTAAAAATTCTTTATGAGGTGTCCAGGCAATTCTCCATGCTTTTGTCCCCTGCAAATTCTCCAGGTCACAGACCAGCAACAGGTGTTATAAGCTGCATTAGTGACCACCGGAGAGAGAAATTCCTAATTACCAAGCGCCTCTGATCGCTCCGTGTCACTAGAGCCTGGGAGCTGAACGCGAGATCTAAAGTTGACGCACACGTGAAAGTCTGGATCAGGCATTTGACCTTTTTTCCACCGGCCCCCAGAATTTAAGGAAGTGTGTGAGCTGCTATGAGGCCTCTAAAGCAAATAAACACCTTGTGCAGAAGTGTTTGATTCTCTTCAGCAACCCTCTAGCTTCGAGCTTTTCTTTAAATGGGGGGGGGGTGCACGCTGTAGAAATGGATTTTTTAAATGTCCATGTGTACTGACTGCCCCTCTCCCTTCTCCACCTTCCTCTATTTGTTCCTGGGAGTTTTCTCCTCTTTTGCCAGGACTATAATGTCACTTGCAGTCATTTGTGCAATAAAAGTCACCGCCAACCAGAGCGAAGGGGACAGATCGGTGGGTGATGATGGACTGGACGGGGTAGGAGCAAAGGCCAAGCCTTAGAGAACACTGCGGAGCCGGCCTCCCCCCGCCCTGTCTCCCGGTCCCGCTCCATCCTCCAGGTAAGATGGATGTGTCCCTCATCTGTCACCCACAGCGCACGGAGAATCCACTCTGATGAAACCCGCTCTCCCCGATGTGGGCCTTGGTCCTCCGAACTTCAAGTTCACACAGAGCGTCTCCGGCCGGGCGCCGCGTGCCCATCCCCGTGCGCCCGCAGCTCGCTCTGCCCGCTGCTCCCGGGACCACCCGCAAGGCCTCCTTTGCCACCTCCGGCGGAGCTGGAGGAGGGCGACCTTGCCACGAGACAAACGCACTTGGCCGGAGTCCCGCCTCCTGGCGGAGTTGGGCCGCGAGGTTCCTCCCTCCGACCATTGGAAGGCGCGCGCCAACCGCCGCGGGGTCCGGAGAGCGCGTGGTCTCGGGTTCCGATTGCGCGCTCAGGGCCGGGACCCGCGGGTGCAGCCCAACCCAGGACCACTCGGGATTCCGAGGTTTAAAACAGGCAAGAGATCCGTTTAGGAAAGAATCCGCAGGCTTCCCGGTTCGCGCACCTGGGGGCCTAGATGCAAATTTCTGGGTAAGCCGAGGTCTCCGCAGGAGTTGGTCGGACTCAGAGATCTCGCTGGAATTAGGGGACTTTTCCATCCAAAAAGATCTCGCAGCTCCAGGAAAGACCCCGGTCCGGACAGGTGCAACACCCTGCGTGCGGCTCCTCTAGCGCCGGTCCCCGCGTCGGCTGCTGAGAGCCCCGCAGAGCGCAGGTCTCGCGTGAGGTCCGAGTCCGCGGCGGGGCGCGAACCATGGCAGAGACCCGCGGCTTGCACGGAGCGCGCTGCCCACGGCCTCCAGCGGGGATCGGCGTCCACTGCGGGCGCCCAATCGGTGCGCTCCCCTGGTCCGTGACGGCTCTCGGCCCGCCCCCTCGACAGCAATAAACTCCGAGAGCAAAACCGCGCTGGGAGCGCCTCGCGGCTCTGCGCCCCCTCCCGCCCTCCTGAGCTTCCGCGGCTCCTGGGAGCCCGGCCCTCGGTGCCCGTGGCAGTCGCCTCCAGCTCCTCTTCCTGCCCAGGCCCCGGTGCGGGCAGGTCGGTCCTGTCCCCAGCCTCCTCCTTTCCTGCCTGTTCCCCGATCCGCAGCCCCCCGTACCCCGCCGCGCCTGACCTGCTGACCGGCGAGCTCACCTTGCCTCCGGGGCCTCGGGACCGCGCCTTCGCACAGCTCCGGAGTCTTTCTTCCCCTTAGGATGAAGAACCCGATGCTGGAGGCCGTGTCCTCACTGCTAGAGAGGCTGCTCTTCATCTCCAGTTTAAAGCTTTTCATCCTGGGCGCTCCGGAAGAAGACAGAAGAAGCAACAGATTCTACGAGGTCAGTTCTTTTCTCCGCGGTGACTTGCTGGAGGTGCCTCGGACCCACCTGACCCACTATGGCATCTACCTGGGCGACAACCGTGTCGCCCACCTAATGCCTGACATTTTGCTGGCCCTGACCACCGACAAGACCCGCACCCAGAAGGTGGTCTCCAACAAGCGTCTCCTCTTGGGCGTCATCGTCAAGGTGGCCAGCATCCGCGTGGACACCGTGGAGGACTTCGCCTACGGAGCCGACGTCCTGGTCAATCACCTGGACGGGTCCCTCCAGAAGAAGGCGCTGCTCAATGAGGAGGTGGCGCAGAGGGCCGAGGAGCGGCTGGGCTTGTGCCCCTACAGCTTGCTGTGGAACAATTGCGAGCACTTTGTGACGTACTGCAGATATGGCACCGCAGTCAGCCCCCAGGCCGACAAGGTACCACACGTGGGTCCGGGGCAGTGGGCGTGTTGGGGGATGTGTTCCCTGGGATGGGGGGGGGTGTTCCTCTTGGACACCTTCCACACAATTCTCAAAAGTTCTGGTGTTGTAAGGAAGGCCAGGTAGGTAAACAATGGCGATGTTCTTCACAGGGTTATCTTGAAATGTGGAGCAAAAAGGTGTGGCCATGCAGGATGGCTTCCAGTGATTCCAGAGAGCTGTCCAATTATTACAGCAGAAGTCATCAGGATATCCACACACAACTAGTGCAGGTGACAAAGGGCAGGCGACGGAATCTGTGCCAGTGTGCTTGCAACCTTTCCCAAGAATTGCAGTTAGAAAGAAGGTGCCCATTGTTTTTATTTAATCCTTAACATTCTAAACAAATGTGTATCTTTAAAATAGGAGAGTGTGCTGCTTTCTCCCCCTATAAACTGCATTGAGTGAATTCCCTTTGTTGATATAAACTATCAAAATTCCCAGTAAGGGGATATCTCTGGTAAATTCCTTCCCAGGTCTGCTTTAGAGAGGCCCTTTCCTTGGTAGGTCCTGGAGTTCTTTTCTAGGTTGTCTTTATTCCCTTTGTAACTTCCTTGTTAAGCATCCTTTGCCCATTTTCCCCAGAGGTAGGTTAGATTGTAAGGTCCCCAGACATCAAAACAATTGATTTTCAAGAAGAGTTCTTAACTGTTGGAAGATAATTTTTTATGCATTCTTAGAAAAGAAGGTATTAAAATTTAAGGTTCTTAAATGAACTACAAATTCAAAGAGAAAAAAATGGATTCTTTCCTTTTGAAACCTCTTAATTTTTAAAAAGTTAACATTTTAAGCTTGCAACTCCATTTGCAACTGGAAGTTTTCTCAACCTTCAATGTAGGTAAAGAAGTAGTGTAAATATTCACGTTTCATAATGGAAACAAGAGTGATCACACAGTGAGCTTTAATGTTGATCTTCGTGTTTAGATATCTTTTTGGACAAAAATCTCGAGTTCATATAACAATGTTCTGCTTCTTAGATTTTAATTGCTCTACATCTTGAGTCATTTTGTGGACCCATATGGGAAAATCTTCCTCCTCCATGGCGGAGCATGAAAGTATTATGCTTTTATGCATTGGTATATAAAACATCATGTAGATTGTTTATAGAGGCAAAACAGACTCAGTCTATGAATTCTTTTCCAAGCAAAATAAAAATACAGTTAGAGCATTGTGCAGTGATTCAAGAATTACAGCTCCAGCCCAAGCCTGGTTATGAACTTCTCCACATTTACCAACAGTGCCTCCAAAAGTGTACAAGAGGAAACATGTCAGATTTACTTAAGAACCAAGCAAATTATTTCTCTGTGGAAAAAGTGTTTCTCCAGTAATTAGGAGTTACCCCTTACACATATAGCACCGTACTATATATTTCTACCAAAAAATGCTACAAGTGATTTTTAGATAGTTAACTTGCATTAATCACTAGTTGGAGTAGTTTTCCATGTGTGGAAACTGCTAGGTTTTACATCAGTGAAGTGTTTTAATTACTATTGGCGCATAGCACCTCTTGAGAAACTGAGTTTTTTGTCTTCACTTTGAATGGTCTAACAAACAAATCGGCCCCAGACTAGATTTCCAAAGGGGGAAACATCTCCATCCCAAATTTTCTAATTGTAAGAACTGTTTTTTAGAACGTGTCCTGAGAGAAGTAGGTCATGAATCCTGAAGGAGGACTGATTCCTACTTTTTAGAAGCTGAAGAAAGTACAGTATTTTGTGTGATCTGACTGTTGAAGTCTCTGTATTAATAGCTACGGTCATCTTAAAATTTACAAAAACTCTCAAGAATGCTTTTCCTCTGGAAAACATGGCAATTAATTTGAAAAGAATTTGGAAAAGAACCTTTTACCTCTTTGGAATAATGTTCTTTCTCTCTCTCTCTTCTTACAAGTTTAGGAATTATAAGATTTAAGAGATTTTTATATTGCTCTCGGTCATTAGTATTTTGTAACTTACTAATCCCCTTAGATACAATTGCTATTCTTTATGCTTTTTTCTACTACAATTTTTTTTCTGACTTTGCTCATACTGCTTTTTTATTGCCAAAATGAATTCAAATGCCTGTTTATCTTCTGGGAGTTTAGAAGTCTCTCACCTCTAGAAATGCCTCCTAAGCAGATGGCCAAGGGAGCATGAAAGGGACATTAGTTAGAAGGAGAAGCTCCTTGAGGAAATCATTTTTTCTTTTTTAGGGGAGGAGAGACCACAATGATTTTCACTTTACCTTCATTATAAAATAATCAGAGAAAAGATAAAATAAGCATAGCCATATCAGGACCACTTACTCATTTACCTAAGTACAAGTGCCAAGTCTTCCTCACAGCTCTGAAAACTTCACTTAGTTTGGTAATCACTGGTTTAAGGCTGAGTACTTGTTCCTCGGTGTCTTGTTAGTTTAACATAAAGAGACAAAGCGGATGTTTGTGCTCTAACTGACAAGATGCTTCACGCTTGTTCAGATATTGTGTTAAAGTGTGGATTCAGACAACCACACAGTCAAGACTGTGCTAAAACCAGCCATTTACCCCTTAGTGGCATTTCATGAGAAAGGCATCATTAGGCAAGTCCACCATTGTGGGAACATCATCATAGAATGTATTTACACTGATGATAAAATCTTCTGGGATTGTCATTGAATGTGCTGTCAGTTGTTTACTGCAATGTCATTATAAGGTACGTAACTATATTGAATTTGTTTATTCTCTCTAGTAAGAATTTAGAGACCTTCCCAGATGCTCAGGAGGCTGAGGCAGGAGGACCACTGAGTAGTTCAGGGCCAGGGTGGAGAACATAGTATAACTGCATCTCTAGAAAAGGAGAGGAGAGGGGAGGGGAGGGGAAACAAAAGGGGAAAGGTGAAAGAGGAAAGGGGAAAGGAGAAAGGAAATGTAGGGAAAGAGGAAGGGAAAGGTAGGGAAAGAGGAAAGGAAAGAGGAAAGGAAAAGAAAGGAATTTGCAAACCTACCAGTCAGTACTGTATATGCAACTATAGGAGACCCTAAAAGCATATAAAATTCAGTGTTCTAGAAAAGGCATTTAAATCTAGTATGAATAGCAAGACTCATAGAGAAATGGCAATTGACTGTTAAATTCTGGCAGTGAAGACAACGAGGTAGAGGTACCTGTCAACACATACAGCAGTGCTAATAAGCATTGGAGTGCCTTACATGTATATGTCATGTAGACGCAAAGTCGCCTTCTACATAAAGGATCTCACTGGATCTTCACAGGCACCGCAGGATTACATGAAGAAGAGGGTAGTGGGGCAAGGTGAGTGACTTACTTCAGGGCACACAGCCAAGAGAGATGGAGCAGGGACACTCAAACGTGAGCCATCGACTTCCAGTTTTTCTAAGAATTAACACATATTAGAGGAATGCATTTTCAAGGGTAGAATGATATTTCTTTTACCTTTATTTCCAGGAGCCAATTATGTATCACAAAATTGGTGGTGAATTTGATTTAGTCAGAGCATGGGGTATGACCACAGAGTGAAACTGATGCTATACCTTTGCCATTTTGAGAATTATACCAAAGTTATCATTGGTATCACCAGTTTTTAGAATTGTAAATTAGAAGAATTGAATCCACCAATAATCATAGGCTAAATTCCATTCTTTTAATTCAAGATTAGAGATCCCTTGCACATCTAATTTTAGAATATGCTATTGGTATGGTTAATTTAATGTTGTTTTTAACGCTTAATCTTGAATAATTTTTGTGTGGTTACATTCCATAATTGTCTGTAAAATTCTGTATTTACAAAGGCAACTGCCATTATTAACCTCATTGTCTAAAGCACCATTTAAGGTACTATGGGGCGCAGAGTCAAGAAACTAGATGTAAGCAGAGAATGTCTAGCTTTCCTAACAGACAGAAAATAGCTGAGAAAACTGTTTAACCATTTGGTATATGTGGTTCTTTTTAGAGTCAGTCACCTTTCCTAATGTTCTGAACTTTTGTCTTCCAGTTCTGTGAGTATGTGAAGATAATTATTCGTGACCAGAGAAGTGTTGTTGCTTCAGCAGTCTTGGGATTGGCGTCTATAGTCTACCTGGGCTTGGCATCATATATTACCTTTCCTGCAGTTCTTATACCATTCTGCTTATGGATGTCTGGCTGACTTCATATGCCCGTGTCAACGCGTATGCATTCTGCATACAAATACATTTGTATTTATAGAGCACAAATCACTGTCAATACTGTTGAGAAAAATGTGACCTGTAACACTGTGTTCTGAGTAAATATGTGATTAAGAATCACATAAAGTGCTTACCGTGTACCAGGAACAAAGGCTTTCTAATCTTCTCGCATAGTTCCCTTGTAAAACACCATTCAATCCTTGGAAATATGACAGCTTGTGAATTCAGCAGTACAAGAAAATCATATACAAGATGGTGGCACCACAGGAGATTTATTTGTGTTTTTTTTCTTCCAGTAATCATTCATCTGTTAGGCCCACATTTGAAGATTGGAAGACCTATTAAGATTGCTCACTCTGTTCTAAGTTTATTCTGCTTTATTAAAAGACTCTACTAAACTGAAAGCATTTTCTTCATTCAGGTGAAAACATGCTTGATTACCAAAAACTTCACCAAATCTCAATTTCTTTTTTTCACATATCACATGTACTTCCCAGTAAATCAAGAATATTGTATTTTCAGTATATGCAATCAGTATTGGCAAAGTTAAGGTTTAATGAAAAAATAACTGACCAGAAAGTATAGAAATCTGTGTTTTGCTGCAGAAATGACCACTACTAGATATCTAGTCGCTATTTATATTTGAACAATGTAGTTGGCTTAACTTACAAAGAATTTGTTAATTTTTTTCCTTTTTTGTGCCCCTATGGCTAAAACATGCTGAGAAATAAATGGATATAAGATCGAAGTAATTAGAGTATCTGCTGTATTGTGTGAATCAAGTAAAGATTGAAAGACAAATTAAGTTATCTTCATTGCTTCATTATACTAGTGTGGTTATTACAGAGCCTGTGTTGAGGTGAATATAAAAACAAGTCCAATGAGTTTTACTACCTTTAATCTGTAGATATATGTCATTGTAAGGGTTATCTTTAAAGTATTTACTAATGTCCTGTATAATTTCTTAAAGCCCTCAGATTTGTTTTCTGGTCAGTTTTTGGCATTTCATTTATAAACATGGCTCATGTCTTTACTAGAACAGATACCACAGTAGTATATGAAACCCAAATAAGTAGGACCAAAGGAAATTGCATGTTAGTAATGCCAAGCATGTAAGTTGATTTCACTGAGGCTGTTAAGGTACCAGAGTTGAGGGGTAGCATTGTTAAAACAAGCCTTCAAATACTTTTGTAAAGTTACTAAATTCTAAAAATTAAGCCACAAGCTAGAATTGCACTTCGAGTATTAACACTATTTTATTAACAGAATCCTAAGACAGTCATTGTGAATGATGTTGAGAGAGTGGGTCAATCAGCCAGTGATCCAATCAGAACATATTTACAGAGCAGATTTTAGTTTTATCACAGCAAATTCAGTTGCAGTGGAATGATAATTACACTTTGTTTAATTAATCTGCTTACATATTTATTTAAATATTTTAAATAACCAAAGCATTAAATGGCAACACCAAAGAATATAGGTGCAGCTTTTTTTTTTTTTTGGTATCAGGGATCGAACTCAGGACCTTGTGCTTGCAAGGCAGGCAGCGGAACCACTGAGCTAAATCCCCAGCACCTAGAATATAGGTGTTCTATGGGCCTATTCCAGCCATCTAAAATTATCTGAAGTCTATACTATATCAAAGCAACCACTATGACAGCATCTGTGCTCCAGAAGGCTGAGGTAGGAGGACTGTAAGTTCAAGCCTAGGGAGGGCAACTTAGTGAATTAGCAAGATCCTGTCTCAAAATAAAAATTACAAAGAAGGACTGGGACTGTAGCTCAGTGTGAAGGCCTAGGGTTCAATCCTTACTGCTACATAAGGGTGTGCACACACACACACTCAGGGAAAAGAGAACCATTGTATTATTTGTTTTCCACTTCTCCTTATAGTGATTATTTAAATAAATTCATTTCTTAAAAATATAATGTTCTTAAAATAAACTTTTTGCCCCTTTTTAAACTTTAGCATTGCAGTCAGCAAAGAAACTCCCAAAACACTTTGAAATTATATCTGTGTCCAAAGATGATGGTCCCTCATTAAATGCCAAGGAAATTATTAAGGTTATAATCAATATAATTGGTCTTGAGTCCCTCTCATTAAAGCAAGATTTAATTCATCATTCGAGTGCTCATTCTATAGTGGCCACTGACTTGTTGCACTGACTTGTTCTAATACTAGAATTAGTATTATTTTTTACTAGCTATAGCTATAATAATGTATACAGTGCCACAGGAATAGAAGGGAAGAAGCAAGTAAGTCTGCCTGAAGGGCCAGACACATGGTACTTGAAGGAAGCAATGCTAGTGTGTAGCTGGGATCTTACTGGACGGACATGTTCAACTCCATGTGGGAAGAGGGAGCAGGAACAGAAGTTTTACTTACTAAAACAACACCAGAGTTGTTGCACTTCTTAGGATAAATGGGGATTTTCTTGTGGTCGGGTTGACTAGTTGCTTAACGAGATAGGAAGAAGCAAACCTTCCTGAGTGTAGTTATAAAGAAACCCTATGCCAGAAATGGGTGCCCCAACTTGAGGCAGTTGATGAATTTCTCCGGACTTCATCAGTTAAGGTTTCTCATTTGGATCCTGCAAATCTCTTGTATCTCTGTATTTCTCTTCTAACTTGTGCATTGATAACCAAGTAATATCTGATGAAGCTTTTTGTTGCTTAATTTGTTCTTGGCTGTAGTTGCAAGTTGAAAGGATGAGCTGGGCTCACATGAGTTATGCAAGGGTCAAGTGTCAGGTCTTAGGCAGCTCTTAGGGATGAGCAAAGCTGTGAGATGCGAACCTCTTCTTTAAAGCTCCCGGCCTAATGGACATAGATGTATTAAGACTTTCAGCAGTCAACAGCTGGCTTGAACATGGTTGGTTTTTAACTGATAAGGCCAGTACTATATGGACTGTGTACTGAGACTTGAAAGATGGGTGAGTATATTCTGGGGGACAGTGATCTGGGGCAGGACATTCTGTGCACTGAGGACACTGTGGGCAATGCATGGAACTACCCATGGTATATCTTATGCATAGCTGGGAAGTGCTCCACTACATCCGACAGAAAGTGGGAGGCTACAAAGGGAATTCAGGCAAATGCATGTGGTTCAAGGGCCAGAGCAGAGCCAAGGTGGAGAGCAGAGGTGAAAACAGGAAAGCAGTGGTCAGGTGGTGCAAGTCTTGTGTAGACCATGTGATTTGGACTTGTGAACAGGCAGTGGAGATTTGGGATACAAAAAGGTGACTCTGGAAAAGTATAGAAGGATAGGGGGCTAGGGGCAAGACTGGATCAAAGGACCAATTCAGAGATTTTCCTAAGATCCTCAATCTTTCAAATAAGGATCACTAATTGTGAAGGTAGAAAGCAGGCATATTGAAGAAGTACCAACAGACTGTGACCAAACTCTTTCACTGGACTCATGAATAACTCTTGGTGGGATGCTAGAGAAGGGTCTTGCACATTTCTTTCCTGCAAAAACAGTTATTTCTGCAAAGTACATTAACTTGATGACTATGTATATATTGAATACTCCTAATCTCTGCCCTGCTAGCTAGGTTTCTAAGGTCAAGCAAGTATGGGTTTGTTCAAAAATTACTTTCAAAATACAGATACAGTTCCTTTTTCCCTTTTCCATTTTGTATTGTTAATGTCAAATATCACAAAATGTCTTCCTGCAACAAGTTATAGTAATGGCCAAAGTCTTTTGTTATGGATGAGATGCCCATGAGGAATGGTGACCAATCCTTATCTTATATGATCTCATTAGAGAGTGTTACCCTGCCTACATTTGTCAACTAAACTAATTATATATTTGATACGTATGCATGCTGAATAAAACTAACTTTACATTATGCTGTCTCTTGTCTTTGAATGAGAAATACATAAAAGTAGATCACAAATACTTTTTTGAGCATGGTAGCCTGAATAATATTACCTCTCCAATCTTCTTTTATTATCCTGAAAATAGTTTTATATGTTTGAAACTAGAATCTGTCTTCAGCCCAGTATAGTTAATAATAATTTAATAATTACCACGCTGTAATGCAAATAAAATACGGAACCTATAAATTTAAGGGATTTAGTATTTTTCTACTTACATTTTAGCCAATATGGTAGCTATTATTCTCATTTTACAGTCAGGAAAATGGAGGCTAAACAGGCTAAATGTCTTACTTGAGATGCTACAGTTAGCAGGGTAATGTTAGGTAGAATTCAAACCTGTGTATTTTTATTCCAAATGCTGTATTATATCACATTGGCCTATTTGTGACCAACCAAGTGAGGAAAATCATTAATTTCTTTCCAAAATCATACTGCTATATTTAGCCAATAGTCATTTAACATGAGGAGGCAACATACTTAAGCAGTTTTACCTATGAATTTTTTGGCTATAGATTTTAAGTTCCATATGATATAAGAGTTCTTAAGATCTTCAGTTCTCACCCAGGGGAGTGGTGTGGATGGATGAGACATTCACTGACCCAGGAGCCTGAAAAGTAAGACACAGCTGATGTCTGGTTTTAGTATTGTTAGTGTCTGTTGTGGGCTGAATGTTTATGGCATACCCCAGCCCCCCGCCCCGTCCTGAGTTCAATACCTAACTCATGCTGTAGCATTTGGAGTTGGGAGCTTTTGAGACCAGAGTATTTCTCCTCTCTCTCTCTCCCTCTCCCGCCACTCTTGATCTCTCCAACCTCCCTCCCTCCCTCCAGTGCAAAGCCTGCTGTCTTCCAGCCAGCTAGAGAGCCCTTGTCAGGAATGGAATTTGTGCAAAGCCAGATCTTGTCCTTCCCAGCCTCCAGAACAGTGAGAGATAAACATGTGGTTTGAAGTCACCCAGGTTAGGACGGTGGCTGTGTGAGCTGTGTCCCGTTATACTGGTTACTGGTCACTCATGCTCAGTAGTCCTCTGGCGAGGACAATATGGAGTTCATGGCAGTGCTATTGTGACCGTCCAACAATGAACTGTTTACAAAGCAACTTCCTTCCACGAAGTAGCACTGCATCAGATGTTAAGGTAAAAACAAAGGCCTGTAATAACAGGTGCATTCTCCTAACATATATTGATACACACACAGGTCACACATAGCTCCTTAAACTGCACATCTTGGTGCCACCAATGGAGAAAGGTGCAGTCTCCTCAAGGCCTCCAGGCCTATTACGACAACAGGCAAGGTGACGGTTTAAAAGGTATTGATGACATTTGTGATGTGTCTAACTCAGCAGACATCTGTTTTTGCCAGTTTCTCCTTGCTGGGTCTGGGCCCTTTGGGCATCTCTTAAACTCTGCAGGAATGTTTGTAGCAGAGTGGGAGAACAAAACAAACTAAAACCACCAGAGCGCCCTCTGCAGGACGGGGTTGAGGTAGGCTGGGAGGAACAAAGAATGAGTGGAAAGGAGACAAAGAAATCCTAACTAAAAAATTGCACTTTTAAATAGACTGTAGCTTCCAGGAACCAATCAAAGTTACCCAAGGACATGCATACCAGCATTCCTTTGGTTAAATTTAGACTCCTTCCCTAACAGACCACTACACCCAAAATTCCTCAGGAATACTAAAAGTCCATAAATCGGCTTAATTGATAAAGTAAGGAGTGGGAGGTTGAGCAAAGTAAGATCAAGGTTGAGCAAACCCAAAGAATGTTCACCTTACCCATTAAAAATGCCCATAACTGTAGAATGGACCAATGTGCTTCTGGAGGGAGGGTCACTTTTTCCAGGGCTTTTCCACCCCTTCAAGAAAAATATAAATGCTTCCAGTTCCAAATTACAGTGTGCCTCATTTCTCTGAGGGCCTGCACTCC